TTTATATTGAAGTGGATTCTACTTGAAGATACACTTGTAAGTGAAATAAACCAGACCCACATGTGTAAATATCAAATAGTTTCCCTAATATAAGAACTGAAAAGAAGAAATACAAATAGAAATCTATAATGCAAGTAAAAGGAAAGCAAGAACTTGAGGACTAGACAATGAAAAGAGAGCAAAGAGAGGAGCTAAGAAACAGGACAGAGGCAAGCCATACAGTTAGCATGTAGAAGATGGGTAAGGCAATGATCCTGAGAATCTTCAGAAGATTTTTGAATCTATCAGTTAATTGGAATGATTCTCACCTGACTAACTATATATACAGACACCTGTGAACTAAGCAACTGCCCTGAAGATGGCAATTTATAATAGTAGGTTCATGCTTGGAGTGCTTGTCATTCTGGTCTCCTAATATGGGCTGCTTATCATGACATGCCAGTTGCTGACATGCTGTCTCTCGGGTAGATGATTGTTCTAAAAGAAGCAGGTAGTGAATGAGGGCAGGAGACAGGAAAAGGAATGTTGCAGAACTGTCCTGCTACAAGATTGTATATGGTTAGATTTTTGGACTTATGTGTAAATATAAGAATTACATAATTCTTTATGCCTATTTTTAAAATATATTCTAATTTTTTAAATGTTCTTTCATCATATTCTTTAGGGACTTAAAGTTCAACAAATCAATACTTGATGAAAAGTACCTGTTGCATGTTATGCCAAAGTTGTTTGATATTCAGACAGACGGTGAGGTTAAGCTTAACAGCCTAGGTTGTATGGTAATAACAATAAGCTTCTCTTCTGGAGGATTAACAACCTAAGTTTGCAGACCAAAATTAGAGAAAAAGGAGGGCCTCAAGGAAAGCCAACACTTTGGCTGTAGCCTTCCAAGGTCAATTTAGACTCAGGACATATGCGAACTTGTACTGTAATGTCATGTAACTCGGTAGTGTCCCAAATTTTCTGATCAAGGAGATTATGGGGCCAAAGAGGAAAGTGATCAGTGATGCGGAGTGTGCCTAAGGAGAGTCACATGGAGAGAAAACATTCTCTCAGACTTTCACAGAGAGCACATTCCCCAAGCAATGGCCATGACTCAGCCACGTGGCTGACACTGACTGACAAAGGTTCTACAATCTGAGGTACAGGATCTCAGGAAAACCCTCTGGGGATTTGACTGACCTTATCAGATCCAAAAGCTACAACTCTTGTTGCATAGGTCTTGCTTTTCTTGGTCTTAACCATCCAGCAAAAAGGTATAAAAACTAAATATAAAAATTAAAGCCATGTTGTTATGTTGAGCTCTAGAGGACTCAGGTCAACAATTTCTGACATTGCCAGTGAAGTGGAAGACCCAACACTATTATGGACTACTGGACTCTTTTAGAATATTTTGCTGAGTTAACACACCTATAATATTCAAATGATGGAACTGAAAAAAGGGGATACAAATGAATGTCCATTTTGTATCTGTGTATTCAGGATAGTTAGAATGGATATATAGTTACATTCTCTTAATGAATAGAGGGATTTGTTCTGCATCTTGTACAGCAAATAACCACTAGGAAGAAAGTATGCAATGTGTTAATTATTGAACCTGTCATACCAATTTGATTTGAAACTGTCTCATTGCTATTTGTCTCTCAATAAAATTATGGGAAAAAATAATAATAATATTTTATTTATAGTTATATTTATGACTTAAATATTTTTCTTCGAAAGTATTCAAAGGTAAGATTAATTAATATTAAGCAAAGCTAGATAAAAGACATATATGAAACTATACTTTTTAAAATGTATTTTTAACTCTGAACTTATTTCACAATAGAATAAAACTAAATCTACTGATTCAGTGCCTGTAGCCTCTTAGATTATTTAATAGAGACATGAAAATCGAGGCTTGAAGGCTGAGTGTCTCATCCCGAGTTGAACCCTAAACTGTTACACTTTACCTGGCTTCATCTACAGAGTAAGTCCAGTCGGACAAATAGGTTGCAGCTGCGAGTGACGGTTTGTGTTGACTTCCAGCTGTGTGTGGTGCCCCCTTGCCAGCAGATGGGCCCACAGGCATCATACCGCGGAGCTGCCAGCTAACAGCAGACGTTCCCCATGTCACACAGCTGCTAAACATGACTAAGCTTCGCCAAACTGAAATAAAATTTGGGGGACACCCTCTAAGATCAGCAGAATCAGGTAAGCATTGGGCCATCTGAATGATAAGCACAACATGTCTGCACCTTGCCGCAGGGAGCCAGGACCTCGTCCCGGGAAGGCGCTCTGCGTTATTCTTTTTTGAGCTTAGCACTTACCATAGTACTCGCTGTATGTCAGCCCTGGCGCTACAAACTCAAATTGCTACTGGGATCAAGAAGATAAATAAATGAGGGCTGTCAAGATAGCTCAGCAAAGTAAGTGCCTGTGTTGGCAAGCACAGGGACCAGGGTTTGATCCCCGGTCCTGCATGCCATGCCAGCCCTGCCCCCAGGGCACGCTGAACCAGCGAACGAGTCCAGGTACAGTGGCACACACCTATGATCCAGCGCTGGGGGGCTGAAAACAGGAGGATCACTATGAGTCTGAGCTGAGTAGTAAGACCCTGTACCAAATATATAAATGGAAAAAAAGGGATAAATAAAAGTAATTTGGACTGCTGCCTAAATGTTCAATGTGTAGAAACATTTCCTGCTTCAACAGTCAAATCGATGGGGATAAGGGGACAGATACTGGGGAAAGATGAGATGGCACTTCAGAAAAATGGGTCTTCTCCGAAGTAGTCCAGACTTCACAGATACTGCACTCAGAGGCAGTAAGCACTGCGCCCCTCTGAGGAGCTGGAAGAGCGATAGAGACCACGCTCAGCTGGCTGCTGATTCTCTGCATAGGACAGGGAGCCTCAGCACTGCCAGTGCTACAAAGCCTTCCCAGAGAGCAGGGCAGTAGAGGTTTGTAAGTTCTCTAATTAAAAGTATTGTGTAAATTTTTTCATAACCATTCTGCAAACCAACCCAAATACACCAGGACTGCTAGAATTTCACCCTTTGTCACAGCATAATTTTTTTTGTTTGTTTTTATGAATTTAGTACAGGATCTGCAGGGTCTTACTATGTAGATCAGACGTGTAGTGATCTTCCTGTTTTCAGCCTCCCAAGCGCTGGGATTACAGGTACGCACCACCACGCCCAGTCTCAATCACCATCTCAGCACACCCCCAGAGTGAGATTGAATCCTGGTCCCTGTGTCTGCCTTAGCAGGCATGTTAGTCTGCTGAGCTGTCTGGCCAGCCCCTAACTGTTGTCCAAATGAGTGTTGAGCAGCTGAAGCGCTGCTCCTCCCTGTGTGTTGCACACAGCTGGTCCATGTGTATGCATACATACATATGTATTTATCCTTTCCTAACTGGGTATGGTGACGCACACCTGCAGTTTCAGCACTTGGGAGGCTGAGGCAGGGGGGTTGAGACTTCAAGCCCACAATACCTAAGAGACCCTGTCTCAAAAAACAAAGTTATTCTTCTGTTATCTGTGCCCTGCTCCCAGAGATTCTGATTTAGTGTGGCCTTGGATGAATTTGTTTTGTTTTGTTCTGTTCTTCACTTCTTAACTCCTCTAGTGATTTTTCTGTGTATCCCCAGTTGAGACCCATTAGGTCACTGAGTCCCATAAAGACCACATGATTCCAGTGATACAAGCACTGAAATAATTTAGAGCAAGATAAAATGATGATGGCAGTTACAGATCATTACGAAAGGAGAAACAGATCTTGAAAGTATTCGATATATACTGAGATTCATGGAAGTATTAGGTGGGGCAGAAAACTGCACAAAAATAAAGATACCATAAAATGTGAGCTTAGGGTGCCATGCAGTTCCTAAGAGGAACGGCGTGCCTGGACAGAAAAGCTGTGTTTGATTGAGATCAGAAGCCAGGCAGGGTGGTGTGCACCTGTAGTCTCCACACTCCCAGACTGAGGCAGGAGGCCCGCAAGTTCACACCTAGTCTGGTCAACTTAGCCAGACGCTGTCTCAAATTAAAAAGGCTCGGCCTGGGGATGGATCTTGGTGTGAAGGACCTGGATTCAGTCCCCAGTAGGAGGGGAGGAAGTCATGACTGGAGTATGTCTTACATTCCAAAAATAGAGAAACAGGAGCTGGGGAGATGGCTCAGTAGAATAAGCACTTCCCTGGCAATGCAAGGGTCTGAGTTCAATCCCCAGATTGAACTTTTTTATTTCCACCAAAAAAATAAATAAAATAAAGGAACAATAGCTTCTCTTTTGACAAGTTGACTTTTACAGCAGAATTCAAGGTGAACTTTGAAGTCAAGTGAGGCTAGGGATTGTTGAGCGCCTTTACAGCAGCCTGGCTGAGGCAGATGGCAGTGCCTGGGAAAGAGGAAAGGGGCAGACCTGAGAGAATCTACAGGCATGAAGCCACAGGACCTGTGAACTCAGGTGACAAATTGGGGTGCGAGAGTGGTCAGGGCCAACGGAGGGAAACCAGGATCAGGAGAAAGGAGGGGATCTTGATGGAAGTTGCTAGAATGGTGTCATTTGACTCCGTTTATCCCGTGTTTGTTTATCTTAGAGTACTTTCTCTCTTCATCAGCATACATGTTCTAACTTAGTGATGACGAACTCTTTATAGAGACAAGTACCAAAACCGCAACTCAAGACCCTTTTATTTATCACAGAATTCAACTCTACAATTAAACTTAAATGCCGATATTTTAGCTCAGAAAAGACAACTCGTACACTGGTACCTTTTTATGTTAAAAGAAATACAACACGTATGCCTTGGGTTCACTACCACTGCCCTAGTTGTATGTGCCTGGAGAAATGGGCCTATTTTGTACCTTCTTCAGTATAAACTCTGGAAGTAGACTGTGTATATTTTATCCCTTTTTCGTAACTTTTCCAAACTTACAGAGATATAGAAAAAAATGCTTGAAGTGAGTAACTCTCATATGCCCATCATCTGCCTCATGTTTATCAACTTTAGGCAAGATTTTTGATAGCAAAGAGGGAAAATAGTAAGAATTTGTGTATTGTTATATGTCAGTGGAGAGAGAGACAGGAACATTATAAACAACTCATGGTCATTAATGAACCTGAAGAAAATATGTAAGATGAAAATCATCTCACTGTCCATGTGCCCACTGTAGACACTGTGGGTCACGATTCAGTCTTAAGGAAGATTTGCCACAGAATGAAGTTAGTTAAGAATATTTTCAATAACAAATACTATATCTATAGCTCATGTGTTCTGATAACTTTCAATAACAAATGACTGAGCTATCAAGCATATAATTTTGTGATTATAAATGTTCTGTTTTTTCTATTATCCCTGTGGCTTAGTGCTTTAAAAATTATGATTTTAAATGAAAATGAAAATCTGGATATAGATATTGTAACGTTTTAAAATGAAAGTTCAACAGTACTTAAAATGTATGAGATCAAAGGAGAATTCAAGTAATAATAGTTTCATCATTAATTCAGTATTTTAAACAAACTTTTTCATTGACCACATGTATTAGTATTTTGAAAATTCTATAAATAGGCTGCCACTGCATAGCAACAGTAAACTTGAGTCATATATGCATAATACTTGCCATCTTATAATGAATTCCTTCTGCCCTGTGCATCCCAATTGAGCTGACATTCATTGCTAGCCTCGAGTCTTCTTACTGGTCAGTCTCCTAAAAAGATGTGGCAGCTAAGATTGCATGAACATATATTGCACTTCTGCTCCTCTTTCCACAAATACTTTTCAGTTGCTCCTACTGATGTCCATAAGACTTTGGAGCTTACTGTAAGTGAATATAATAATAATTACTGTTCTCAGTATATCATCTTTAAAAAGTAATGCATATGTCCAAGAACAGACTTTTTAGTATGGAAAAAGCCAGGAGATCCTTCTTTCTTTGAACCTTTTATACCTAAAAAGCAGACTCCCCATGATGAAATTTGAATTACATGAGAACATGAATGTGTGCTCATATAATTGATCGTGTAGTCCTCATATGAATTATGATGTTCTATTCGAAGGGCACGCATTCAGAGATCCTTGTGAGGCCTCTAGAGAAAGGCCACTTCCTGTGGGTGCTTCCTAGCATTTTCACACAAGGCAAAAAAAATAAACCATGAAACATAGCTGTCTTGGATTGTGTCTTGGTGCAAGACATAGTTTGAGCAAAAGCTTTTGATGAAAGTAAAAAATAATTGGGTTTCCAAATAGCTGCACATCCCCACCATTGGCTCTCGGTCCCGGCACGCATGAGCTAATGACATCAGTCCGCAGGCGACTGTGGGAGCTGATGATTGTTCATTAGTGGGACCTCAGTTTAACAGAACCAGAGAAGCAGGCCTGGTTACTGAAGTTGAGCGTTCAGCCCCTAATGACAAGATGCCTTAGTCCACTAAGCACAAATGAGAACTAGGAGCTTACTTAAAACCTAGAAGGCAGATTTCCCTAGTGTACTCCTTTTCCTGGCAACAGTCTTATTAGATTTTCGCTCCTTTTTAAAGCAAAACTGATATGTCTACCTCCTAGCCCAAGTGCAAGTGGGTGAATTAACTTATCTAGCCAAAAAGCATAACACAATCAGATAATTATCTTTGGGTAAGTGAAATCTATATTAGAATTTCTTCTTTGGGTTCCACATTATGAAAACAAGATTAAAATAGAGTGACACAATATATGCTGAAGCAGATGAACCTAAAAGGAGAAAACACTTGATTCTGACTTAGAAAAGCTAATGCACTCTAATTTCTTCTTTTCTAAACTCCAGCTTTTGGTTCAGTTGCCTCAGATTGATTGTTGGTTAAAGAAATTTAAGTTTCAATTGTTCCAATATCTGATAATAATCCAAAATAAATTCAAGTCGTCTCTTAAATTTGGATTTTATATCCTCTTTACACATCTTCAATAAAAAAATATGCCTCATCACCTTCCTTCATTTAAAAAAATATAAAACTTGTAAGGAATTTAGAATGGACTTTGATCAGTCTATCTAAAATATGGCAAAGGTATTACAAACCATTCATAGAGTGAATTTTAATTTTCTGTCAAGTCTTGGCCAAAATTTAAAATTTTTAATATAATAAAACAATAAATATTAAAAATGTACTTTGTCAGTGTGATAATTGCATTAATCCAGTAGGATTGACTTGGGCCAACATTACATTTCTGCTTTAGA